CTACTGGCTTGCTCCCCATACCTTGTTCAGACTGCTTTCTTCCTTTCTTTTTTCTTAACTTTTAGTGACTCTGTAAATTTCACTTTATGAATCCTGATTTCCCTTATCTCACATCCCCTCACATCTGCCTTTGCATCCTCCTCCCACCAAAATCAAAACCAAATTTAAAAGAAACCCCAAAACCAAACAAAACAAAAGCAATAAAAGCAAACAGAAGAAGGGTGGGGAGAATCTTGCCACGGGAGCTGTACTGCGGCTTAGTGAGTCACAGTTTGACATTTCATCTTTACTTGGAGTCATTAGTCTGACTTGAGGCCTCTGGTTTCTGCTAAACCACAGATAATGGGCCCTCACTGGGGGTCCTCTCAGATATCCTGCTGGGCTATGTCATGAAGATCCTGCTGTTTTGGTTTATACCCTTCACAAGCTCCAACAGTTCATAGATTCAGAGGATGTTGGGGTAGGCCAACCCATAGCCCTGATTCTGGCTATATTCTGGCCAGTTCACCACCTCTCCCTTAACTTCACCACCATAGTGAACTCTCCAGCACTGTCCCAATTTGCGCACCCAATAAAACAGGCAGAGAGGGATAGGACCAATTCTCTTGCCTGCCTGCTATGAGTAGCAAGGGGTAGAGGGGAAGGACATATTTTCTTCATCCCTGCTGCAACATGGCAGACCAGTGGGATGGACAGCTCTGTTCCTCTCACACTGTCTTCAGTCTGTTTTCTTACAGGAGCCAGGGCCACCAGCCTCGGAATGGCACCGACTACAGTGGGCTGGGATCTCCCACATCAATCACTGGTCATGAAAATTCCCCTCACAGACTTGCTTGCAGCTCAATGTTATAGATGCATTTTCTCGAGAGGTTCAACAAATGTCTCTAACTTGAGTTGGGTTATCAAAAATTAATCAAGAGAAAGCCTTTGAACAATCATGAAGAGTAAGATAAATACAAGATAAATGATAAAAGAAAGATGTAGATTTCAGATTCAAAGATGACAGGTTGTACAAGATTTACATATGAGAATATATAATTTACGTGATCAAGATTCAGGACTTGGATATTTCAAAAAGTTCTTATTTGAATATAAACCCCAAATTTCTCACAGAACTGTAGATACCAAAATATAAATCTCTCCTCCCTTCCTCCTCTTTCTCTTTCTCTCATTGTTGTTTTGTTTGTTTTCCTTCGAGACAGGATCTCATTTCATAACCCATTCTGACCTGATCTTCAATTTCTGATCTTCATGCACCAGTTTCCACAATGCTGAGCACATAACGCTGAAACAGGTTCATATAAAAGAGTGGACAAATGTAGTCTTGAATACAGCATTTAAGACTAGGAGGAATGGGGTTTGTTTCCTGGATTTGAGACTTCAATAATAACAGTAAATGGCAGCGTGAAAATTAAAGCTGATTTTGCTCTTAATACTGCTAAGAATAAGAAAGAGTTAAACAATACAACCTCCATACTTACTATTGTCCTAAAACAGATAAAATTTAAAGTTTCATAGTAACAAAGATGTTACTTGAAAGCAGTGTTTCCCTTTTAATTCATTCATTATATTTAATTGTTACAAAATATATTTAAAATGTTTATTTTGATTATAAAAATCCCATTTAATGAATTGACAGGCTCAAAAAACAAAAAAAAATGCCATTTTTATAACCCAAGAGCATTCTATCATTGGTAGGAAAGGAACATTTTAATGTAAGGGACATCCTAATACACAGCTTCAGATTGCACCTCTCCAGAGTCTCATGGAGACTGTTCAGTGTCAGCAGAGGGCTCACCAAAGCAGAAGCCCTGGGGCTTAACAAACTCCTCCAAGAATTATGCTCTAAATTAGCTCATGTTCCCTCCATCCTCTGTTAGGATTTTATAGCCATACCTGGAAATTAAAAGCCATCTATTACATGCTATGTCGATATTTTATGCAGCATTTTAAGAAGAAAGAACTCCATGTTTAGTTTAAGTTTCTTCTTGGCTCTTTGCCTCCGAAAACCCCCGTGGGGGAGGAAGGTATGACACTGACTCTTACCTGACAGGTAGAATGAAAAATGTTCTTTCTACTCAAGGAGACAGGCCTAGACTAGTCCTGGGAAGACTTTTTGGCAAACTGGTGAAAAGGCATTGATCGCATTCTAATGTATACTCTTGCCTTACCAGATGACTCTTCCTATATAGATATTTGTGAAAGTAACTATGTAAATTTGTGAGGCTGCTTAAGATTATGAACCTTAATGTATAGCATTTTACCGCTACTGAGACCAAAGACAGAATTCGAAAAGAAAGATAAGGACCAAAGGAGATACAATGCCAAATTTTCCAAGGGTAAAAGTGTGTACCTAGTACTGAAAAAAAAAAACTCATGAAGTAGTGAGTGGTCAGTTGATTTTTCTGTCCACTCCCCTCACTCACTTTTTGTCACTACTTTGTAAGAGGGGAGTGAGAACTAGAGCAAACAACCCCAGGATTAAGATAAGAATGAAGCAGGATGTCAGAAAAATGGAAACCCTTCCCCATCTTGGCTACATGAGATAAACAGAGATGCCCTAGCAAAGTCTATCACAGAAAAAGTGGAAGAAGGGAGGCAAGCGCTACGCCAATGACAGCCCTTTCTCCAACTAACTAGCTTGTTCCCAGTCTCAGAGCACTTTCCTTGACATGATAATTTGTCTCCATTATTTCTATATCTAACCATGTGACCTTGGTACAGGCCCTGGTCCTGGGACACAAGTATCAAAAACTTCAGCCAGTGTTCCCTAGAACTCAGATTTGCACCAAAAGTGTGTGTATGAACGGTAAGAAAAACTGTGTCTTCCTTCTACACCCTGCATCTGTACGTGCTGTTCTCACTCTTATCCGAGTCAAGCGACTGCTTGACTAGAATTAGCGGTTCATGAAACGTTCATTTACTACAAAGTGATCTGCCGTAAAAAAAGGAAATGGGAGAAGATTCTTATTCCTTAGCCTGGGTTCTCTGTACCTGTTACAAATGGTGAGTATACAGAGATGTAGGTTGTAGCTCTCTGCTGGTTTCCTGCAGCAGTGGTGGGCTTACAGGAGTCTGTCATCCAACTCATTTATCAGTTTCAGCATCCCAGTAACACCACCTAAAACTGAATGTGCCAACTCAAAGGTCCTTGTGTCACCTGGTAGGGTGAAATGAACCCACAACTCTGTGAGATTTGCCAAGTAGTTCGTCCTCAGTAATACTGATATCTTGAAGAGTGACTATGTTTACATTTTTTTAAATTGTCAAATATATCTTACCTAGTCTTTAAAATTTTTCATACGTGTATACAACATAATTTGATTCTATCCACCCCAACTCCTTCTAGATGCCCCTACCATGTGTACCCTTTTCATGTCCTCTTTCTTTAACTCACTAAGTCCACTTAGTGATGCCTGCACATGCACGTGTGTGGGATCACCCACTGAAGCATAGACAACCTGTCATGGGCTACACAAAGCTACCAGATGGTCCTAAGGCAAGCTTAAGTATATAGAGGCCAGAAAATTGAGGATGAATTTCAAGTGGGAAAAAATAATGCAGGTGACAAACGAGAAAGATGTATTCCCATTAATAGAAAAAAAATGAAATTTATTTCAAATTGTTTCTTTGTCTTATCTATTTTTATTATGAGAAGTAGCTTTATGTTCAGATTCTTTGAATAAGACTGGCTTTCCTAGTTCCTATGCAAAAGACTGTCCAGTGATAGTCACTGCTAGCTAAGACATGAACTAGAGCAGCAGCTGTTCTGCATAAATATACCCACGCTGTGTTATTAAAGAACATCCCAGCAGCCTCACATCAGGCGTGAGAAAAAGGGTTCAGAACTGAGAGAAATGAAAAGCAATGGGGCAATTGTAAAACTAAAAAGATAAGAAAGAAATCACAGTTTTCCAGAAGGGACTGGGTTAATAAGTGGACAATCCCATCTAAAACAGCCCTTTGCAGACTACTCTGTCGAATAGAAGTGACCCATGCTTTCAACATTTAGCAAATACTGCACAAATCTCTTACTGGCACTCTATCAAGAAAAGATTTTGTTTTGATAATACCTTTTCCTTCGAAAAACTTCTACATTTTCTCTTCCGTAATCATTGTAATTACTCCCCGTACATGCTGCCTTTAGCTTGTCCAGAAAATGTCTTTAATATCCTCATTTTGAAAGATTTAAATTCTTTCCCTTGCTCCCTAGGATGCTGTAAGTTACATTGATCCATTCTTAAATGAGCACAGTGAGCCCATTTCCTTTTTCATTTTGAGGTTTTGTTTTTTCGTTTTCAATGGAAGACTAGCCTGGGCTTTATTAGCATTTGAAATCTATTTTTCTAAAAAGATAAAAGATACCTACAGCTAACCTTTCCCTGTGGTATTCAAATCTGTGTCTTTGTATGCTTCTTTCATGTTAGGAACTTGGAATATCTTTTCAAGTTGACTATCACCCAAGGAGAACTTTAGTCCACTCAAACTTACCTGTACCTGACAATTGAAAAAGAGAGAAAGAAAAGCATAGTTCAATTGACTATTCAAGATAGAAACCATGTTAAAGAACAACGTGTCTTTCTTGGCTCTCCACTACACTCTTCACTACATAGAAAAAAGTCAAGACAAAAAAAATATACATCATAGCAGAGTAATAGAAGTGAGCAAATCTCCAAATCCACTGGGCTGGAGAGATGAAACAACTAGAGCAGGGGGACACAAAATGAATAACACAGGATCAGATCAGACAGTAGACAAGTCGCTTCTACAAAATTTGAGAATTTGTCACAGATGAACCATTGGTCAGTTTTCACACAAAAATGCTCACACACCAGGGGTCTCCAATTGAAAAACAAGATGTCTTTTTTTTTCTGCTCTAAAATGTGATGTTTTATTAATTGTTAAGAAAAAGAACAAATTATTCACTTAACTGTTTACAAATGTCAATAGGCATCCCTTAACACAGATATAGATACAAATGAGTTAGCAGCTGATGTTAATTGATGAATTCTGGATTAAATTATGTAAGATTTACATTGTTGCTTTTGAAATTTATCAGTTACTATGAAAAACTTACAGAGAGAACAACTCCAACGTAGAAAAGGTTACTTCAGCTATACAGTAGTGATCACGACAGATAGTATTGTTACATTCATGCATCTACCAATCTCATTGAAGAAACATACTAGAAAAGAGGTCACAAAAAAGTCAGTGAGTTAAGTAGTCAAAATGGTTCATGTGGTTACTTAGCAATGAAGTGAAAGCAATTCACAGTAGTTAACTTGCAACACTTCAGTGTTCATGGGTGTAGTGTGAACTATCACATACACCAGTGAAAGCAAATACATAAAGGAGAAAAAAAAGATGCTGGACACCCTTAAAATATAAATCTTACACTGTTTAAGGGAATAAATACATGCCACAGACTGAAACAAAATTTTTATAAGGTATGTATTCATTAAAGCGTTATTATCCTAAAGTACTCAAAGAAACCTCAAATCTCAACAATGTAAAAACAACCTGTTTGAAGAACCTGGCAAAGTATCTAATAAAATCTATCCATAAAAAATACATAAAGTTTAAAAAACTGTTTTGAAGAAATATCCAACATCATACACCCTTAGGGAACAAAAATTAAAATAGATATGTACACCCACCCATATCGACTACCATAACTTCTTTTATCATTTCAAAAAATTTTCTGCCAAAATTTTACAATTACAACTCATTTTACAAATGTTTCTAGTCCTTTTCAAGTGAATGGTTACTTTTATTTACATTAATATGTATATTTAGCTATTCTATATATGTAAATACCTTGCAACTTTTTATTAAGATCCTATATGTTATTATGTATTATTAATGAGGGCTTGTGTTTTGTGCTTCTTATAGTTTATATATGAAACCTTTCTAAAAATCCTATATATTAAAGAATTGCTCCTAGGATTCTAATATTAATTGAGGAATGACTTGGTCTTGAGGATGTTAATGTGAGAAATGGATTCACAGTTCATTGTAAAAGGAACGGCAGGCTGTGTCCTGCCACCTGGCTCCCGGCTAGCTTTATCCAAAATAATTACATGGAAACTGTATTCTCTTAAACACTGCTTGGCCCATTATCTATAGCCTCTTATTGGCTAACTCTTACATATTAATCTAACTCATTTCTAATAATCTTTGTAGCACCACGAGGTGGTGGCTTACCAGGAGGATTCTAACCTGCGGCTGTCTCGGAGAGGAGAGTCATGGCGTCTACCTGTCTCTGCTTTCTTTCTCCCAGCATTCTGTACTGTTTACTCCGCCTACCTAATTTTCTCCTATCAAACGGCCAATGCAGTTTCTTTATTAACCAATGAAAGTAACACATAGACAGATAACCCTCCTCCGTCAGTTCATAAACTCAAGTGCCTTTAAAGGTGCATTGGAGCAGGTGTGGTACCAGGCACATGCCTTCTGTTTCTCTTTGTTTCCTGTGCACTGTGATATTTCCTCTTACCACAGGCACTGGGTGCTGGATCAAACTTCCTGGACTAATATACCTGAGGTTGTAAGCCAAAGTAAATGAATTTTCCTTTAAACTATTTCCTTTTATCTATTTTTATAGAGATAAAAATCAATAAGATGTCTTAAAGGCCATGTCCACTAAAAAACTTGGGAATATATAACTTACCAGGTCATTAGGTTCAAATTCATATGAAAGATTTTCTTGATGGAATTCACACAAGATTCAAGAACACTGATTCAATTTTCTTTTTAATCCATCCACACATTATTCACTGAGATCACTCCTAATAATAAACAAGTGCTTTATTGGATATTATATTGTTATTATATTCTAATTCCATTTGTTTATATATGTCACACACCAAGGAATTTTCTAGTATCAGATTACTGAGGATCAACATAGCAAATACAAAGTTCTATTGTCCAAAAATTACCTTAGCATGAATTGGGTGTAGTTTTAATACTAAAATGAATTTAATCTTTTTTTTGCAATATTTTTCTTTAGAAACAAGATAAGAAAACAAGACCTTTTTAAAATCTGGTATTAATAAATACAAGGCTTTGTTACCAAACATTAAATAAAACCTTACGGCCCCTCTTGAAATCTATTTTTTAAAATATGTATGAAAATAGATCTCCTGAAAGAAAAATCACCTTTCAAAAACAGTTTGTACATTCATATGTTAATTTATATACTCATATGTTTACTATACTCATATGTGCATTTATATATCATATGCTAATTTTTTAAGATGAAAACTTCTTAAAGAATACGCTAGCTAAAATTCAGTAAAAGATGATGCCTGGTAACAAAAATACATTTTTAGGGGGGTCCAAAGGCTGCGTTTCTCATATACTAAGCTTAAGTTTTGGGAAATTTAATCATCTTGAGTTTTATCACGTAAGAATGAAGACAACAATGTGCTTTGGGAGGCTCTTATAATGACTACTATAGCACCAATTGTAGGGCTTGGTCATAGAACACAGTAATTAGATACAAAATCAACAGTTGGGCAGTGTAAATTCAAATCCCAGCCCTGCTTTTTACAAGCTGTAAACTTAAACAAGTCCCTTGAATTTCTCTTTGCTTATTTCCCCATCTGTAAAATGGGAATACACAGAGCATGAGAGCCATTGAATAATACCCGCCAATTGCTAAATAGATTTAGCCAGTGTCCTGCAGAGAATGCAGAATAGATAAATGTGATAAAAAGGAAGCATAGAAGAGAACAAATGTGAGCAGAAACCCATGTCAGATGACTCCCAACAAGAGAGCTAGGATTATCTGAAACCACTGTGCTGCGGTGGCAATATTCAAAGAGGATTCTTCTATTAAAGCTATCCTGAGTTAGAATTTGAAGAATTTTTCAAATCAATCTTATTTCTGTGTCCCTTTCATATACATAGTAGTCAAATACAAACATTCAAATCTTCTCTTTCTCTGTTATTACAAGAAATTGAACTCAGAACCTCTTGCTACTGAGCAGGCGCTCAGTGACTGAAAAAAATTCTAGCCCGTGAGGTGCCTCAATCCATCATTCAAACCATGTTTACTAATAGTCTTTTCTCTGTTTATTTATATTTCCTGCATACATCTCTCCAATAATATCAATTTTAAAAATACTTTAAAAGTCTAAAATCTTTGTTAGTTTTCAGGGAAACGTAATATGTATGTAACCATAAATAAATAAATATTTTTAAAAAAAACATATATCTTATAGTCTAGAAGCCTGAAGATACAGAATCCCTGCAGATAAGAATCTAATCACCTAGTGCGATACGGGATACAGAGTGAGATGGAGAAATCAAATACACAGGGTCTTCTTCCCAAGTATACTGTGTTTTAGGAGTGAGATTTTAAATTTTTCACTATGGAAAATATTAGAATCTTGGGGATTCTGGGCCTACCTTAGCTCTTCTATGAGACACACTACACTTAATGTCCTCTCCCATTTCTCTGCAGAAGAGAAGTCAGAAGGACCTGGAAGAAAGGCATGCAGTGCCACAGGGAGACCATTAACAAGGGGATTCTGGAAAGATGGCAAGTTTTAATGGCATCGATTATGTGGTATTTCTCTTGACAATATTTGAACCAACTCAAGATGGCTTTATTTAACATAAATGTAATCGATCTTAATGATAAATTTTATTAAAAATATTTTCAACACCTGTATTTATGCAGTCATATCCATATTGAAAGAAATCAATGATTTACCCATTACTTTAGTTCCAGTTTCTATGAGTGAAACCTAAATGCTAGACCTTTATGTTTAAACTTTGATGACCTTTAAAGGCATCCCACTTATCCCAAAATTACAAATAATATACTCTTGTTACTTAGAATAATCTATAAACAAATCACAATACAAATAAGATACACATATGATTGTTACTAGAAGAACTAGGAAATAGAAATGAAAAGCAAGATGGGTATTTCTTTCCCTTAAAAAACTTTCCTTCTAGTATGCCTTTGATAGATATTGCATTTTTATTGTTACAGTTTTGGTCATTGTTGTGGAGATTGCTGGTTACTGATGCTGTCTCCCTTTTCTTCATATTGTTTTTATTTTTTATACAAAAAGATAAACACTGGGGAAATTTATTCCTATTTATTGTACATCGCTGATTTCTCTTTCTCAGCATCAGCCATGTCGTTATTTGATTCCTGTACGTATCATAATTTAGCTTTTTACAATCTTGGACTTCCTCAAACTGAAGTAAATACTCATTGTTTTCTAAAAATTCAAATGTTAGTAATATTTTTTTCATTTCCAGGTGACTTTTTCTCATTGATCTGCCACAACTACTTCTGAAGGTGTTAAAATAATAATTATTATCCCTATTTTAAATAATGTTCAGGGCAGTTGGTGTCAGACCAAAAATACTAGTTAATAACATGTAGACAAATGGCCCTCCCACAGTGAGTAGCCAGAGTTGTCTTAGGAATCCTCTGTGAGCCTATCAATAAAATAATAGACATTTTTTTGGTTAGCACTCAACAGAGAATTTTCTTATCTCCTTATAGAATTCAAATCACATAAATTATAAAATAATCTCACATTTTATAATCCAATTATTAGCAAATAATTGAGACACTATAAAATGTGGATTTTCAATCATAGTGTGTTTTGAGAGGTTTACAGGATATTTGTTGAATATGGGGGTTTTGGGGTCCTCATTAAGAAGAGGCTTTAGTATACTCACTTTTTGTAGCATGTTGATCATAGTCACACATATGCATAATGGTTTTGTAATTATTTATGTAATATATGACCTTCTAAATGTACAGTAAATTCCATGAGAAGAGACAATAAGGTAGTCCTTTTTATCTTAATTCTTAGAATCTGACATTGTGCTACCTAACATACAACATATAATTGTTTAATTGATAAATTAAAAGATGCAAAATATTTAAATCTTTTAGAATCAAGATACAATCTCTAGGTGTGCATCTGTATTTTCAAATCCAACTCATCCTTTCTTTGTTTTGACTCTTTTGACCATTTGGTATTAACTTAATAAGTAAGTTATTTGACTATTTTCTAAAACTTCCTAACTACACTATTAATACAGTACATAGTCACTTGTGATTTTCATGTACTTGGCATATCTTCAAGTTCAGACTTCATGTTGTGAAAAAGTCCCCATTCCTGGCTATGAAATCAGCATGAGCACAGAATTCACAGCACATGGAGCAATCAGAGATCAAGTCTCAGGAGTCTGTTCATCACCCAACACTGAGACCTTCGGAGAGATGAAAAGTTCTGGGAAGGCACGAGAGGGAAGTCCTAGCTATACATCATCACTCTTAAGCTTTTTAAAGAGTATTTTCTGGAAACATCATCAAGGCTTTGCTATATTAAAAATTAGTTGCAAGTGGTATTCCCCAAAAGGCAATGATTAGGTTATGAAAAACCGAAATAATCAAACTTCTCTCCAAAAGGCAATGGTTAGGTTATGTAAAACCAAGATAACCAAACTTTTCTCCAAAAGAGAAAAGACAGTGCAGGGAGACAAAGGAAGTACATTTGATAATGAAATTATTTGTCCCCACTTCAGGAAAAAAAAAAGGACAGCTAAAACAGCATCATAAGCATGCGTAAAAGAGCCAAGAGACTCTTAAGAATATTACGAAAATGGACAATCCTGCCAAATTAAATGTAATAGTCTGAATGAGACTTTCTGTATATATTAGCTCCAAATTCTGTGATCCTTCCAAAGAAAATGGGACCTCAAGAAGAATTCCATTTATCCTCTATGAGCCTAAAGCATATTGAAGTTCTGATGACCACTGGAATGGCTTCATAATGCAAAAGTAATCTAGTGATGTCAGACAGGACTTTCTCATCATCCTGCATTTTCTGTCAAAGGAAAGGAAATAAAAATGCCTGAATGTGATATGGCCTTAACATAAAGGAAAAAAACTATCCAGCATATAGGAAATGCTGTTACCTCTTCACACACTGCCACTAACCAACAAAGAAATGATTAGAGAGGCAGGGGTTTCCTGGGAATAGGAGATCCGGGAGTTTGTTCTCAGAACATGAATGCGAAGACTAACTCTAACACCTTTCATGTGTTTGTCTTTCTTCTTCTCTCTTCTACACAGAAAACATGAAGTGGTGCCGTTCTTTCATCTCTCTTTTGTCTTGGTTTCAGTAAAAGGAGGAGAATCTTCTAACATCCCAACTCCAACAGTTCCTTGGGCACCAATAAATGTATATGTGAAGGGTCAGCTCATACCTGGAAACATCAGGCAGAAATTTGAGATAGTGAATGACTCTCACTTCAACCCAGGTCACAGGCAGGAAAATTAAGAGAAAACCTAATCTTCATTGGACAGAACTCTCTCTAGAGCAGTGTTCTCATTAGAAAGCAAATAAGTTGGAGAAAAAAAGCTAAGTAGACCAAACATGAAGCCAAGAGCCAATTCACAAGGAGAGTACTTAAGCGACCTGCTTATCTACAGATAATGGAATTCATGTTCACAAATGCATTTCCTGCCAGTTTCTTATGTGTGACAAAATGCTCCACAAGAAGCAAGCAAAGGAAAAAAGGGCTCATTTCGACTCACAGTCTGAAAGCACAGTTCATCAACTGCAGAGAAGGCATGGGGCGCTGTTCACATTGCATCCAAGGAAAAGAGTGGGAGATGCTGTCGCCCAGCTTGCTTTCTCCTTCACTCAGGTGAGGATCCCAGATCAGGGATTTTTTTTTATTTGCTACATTCACAGCACCTCTTCCCTCCTCAATTTAACCTTTATGCAAACAACCTCATAGACACACCCCAGAGTAGTGTTTTCATAACACCAAACCCAAACAAGCTGACAGTGAAGATTAATCATCACAGTTAAGAAGGTGTTTTGATCCATGACCTTCCAAATCACTGTCCCCTTGGCTTAAGGCTCTTCTAAGATAATATTTGGTTAGTGTGCTACTAGCAATTATAATAAATTAAGTAACTTCTTCAAGAACTTAAGAGATGGTTTTTCCTTGACACTCAGAGTCAAGGCTTAGTTCTAAGTTACTGAGCAAGTGTTACTAAAACTGACTTGCAAACTTTGAGATGACTTGTACTTTGTGAAGAATAATGGAATCTAAACGAAGGCATCTGCCAGGCTTTTAAAACATGCAACTTTTAAATGAAAACATCCCAAACTATGGGGGGTATTTTTTCTCAGAAAACACAGACTATTTCTTCAGGACTGTCCTTACAGGTTCTTGAGCAACATTTGTTTATTTTGTTCTGTTAGGAAGTTTGCATTTTGTGGTGCTGAGGATTAAACTCGGGCCCTTGTAGATCCTAGGAAAAAGACTTACTCTCTAAGCTCGATCTTTGACCTCTCACATGCTTTTATTTTACACATCTCTATTCTTTAAAAAAGTATAGTTCTTTATTAAAATATTAGTTTTAGCATGGGTAACTTTTACTACAAATAATATTTCTTATGACTATGTGGGTTTGAGGATATTCTACTGTTATAACCCATTTAAAATACAGAAAAAAAATGAAGTTTGAGACCACATTACCTTTGGAATTCCTGGGAATGGAAAAAGATCAATAAATGTGTGAAAGAGACAGCGATCCAGATGACCACAGATTCCAAATCTTACCCACAACAAGCCTTCCAAAGAAGGCTTAGGATTACATTGGAAATTTTCTTCAACATGAAATATTACAAGCAACATTCTTGCCAACCTAATTATACTGAGTTAAGAATATACCATTCATAAAGATGTGCTTCTGACTTCTTGGTTAATATGAAGACAGTACTTCAGTCAGGTGTGGAGGACTTTAATTACTATAATTAACATTGGTGGGTCATTCATATTCTAACCACAAGATATTAGGACTGAAAGAAAGAGGATGTATTCCATAACATTTTCATTTGCCAAAAAAAAAATGAGGAAACGATGACTTAAAAGATGATGCCTCCTTGTCACCATCTTTTGTGTGGATGCTTCATTTCTAGGATTTATGTCTGAAGGTTTATCTGTATTATTTCGACAGCAACATCTTCATGAATGTTACTGCTTCAAAACTTTAACTTTGCTCACTTTCTACATGTATGTACTGTATAAAAATATGGCTACCTTTAGTAAAAGCACACTCTCACTAACTAACTCTGATTCTGGTTTTTGATGTGATCCCAAAAGCAAGGGACAAGGGAAGAACAGAAAAAGTAAAGTGCAGTGATCTAGGGTGGAAAGAAAGATGAGCTTCAGAAGTATCTTGTTGAATTTAAAGAGAAAAATCTAAAGCTAATAAAGACACCACAGCTATCCTTTATAATTACCCTTGGGTGCAAAATGAGGAATGAGGGTGGAGAAGAATTTGGCAGAAAAAAAAATCAAAGCAATTCCCTTTCTACCAACAAACAGAAAAGCTCAGAACTCTTCAGTTTTGCCTGGTTGGGAAGATCTCAGTTACCACACTGAATCTCAGGGTAAGAAGCCAAGGTCCACATTGCAAATTAAGAC